TCACTAAAACGTTCATCCTACTACTTATTTTAATACAAGTTAATATGAATTCAAACGAGGAGTAAGACAAATTACATTGAAGTTTCTATCGCGCCACTTTATGAACCCGATCAACCTATACTCAGCCATGTGAAGGAAAAATCCAACCTGAAGTATCTCGTTTTTTTTTTTTTTTTTTTTTTTTTTTTTAGCACACGCAAGTAGTAGATTGACTCGCATTAGACTCTCCTACCACTTGATCAATACGAGATTAGCTTAGTTCAAACAAGTAGACAAATTACTTATGCTTGAGTACCCAACTACCTTAATGCTAAACAAACAGTAGGGTAACTCATACTGGAATGTGGTGAAGGCTCCCATGCGAGCATAACTCACTGCTTGATTGGTTTGTTTATTCTGATGAATTTCAAAAGAATAGGTGAGGGCTCACGTATGAGCTTAACTCACTATGTGATTGAATCCTTAACCTGATGCAGTGAAAACTCTTGTGTTAGCTAAACTCATTGCATAATTGGACTCTTATTTTGTTCGAAAAAAATGCAGTGAAGGTTCACATGTGAGTTAAACTCATTGCATGATGAATTCCTTAATCTGATGCAGTGAGGGTTCCCATGTAAGATTAACTCATATGATATGGAAAAAAATGTGGTGAAGGCTTTCGTGTGAGCTGAGCTCACTGCGTGATCAATTTTTTTTATTCTGATGGATTTTAGGCGAGTTAAACTCACTGCGTGATTGATTCGTTATCCTAATGGATTTCAAAAGAATCAGGTTAAGGCTCATGTGTGAGATAACTCACTGTTTGGTTTAGTCATTTGAATTGAACTAACTGGGTATGACTCGCGTGCGAGCCATCTTATTACTAATCATCTTTCAAACCATTGTATGGGTCATCTTATTACTAATCATTTTTTCGGACCACCGCGCGATTCGTTTTATTATCAACTTGAATCTTAGCTAATTGATATTGAAAATAAGTGGTGGGATGCTCCAGTGTGAGTCGTCAAACTTCTTGTTTTTTTTTCTGCTTATTCATATACAATATGTATGTTTAACATGAAACAGGTGGTAGGATACTCTTGTGTGGGTCATCGTATTACTTGTTTGAAGTTAGATTGTATAGTATTGAAGAGGTTCATATCTCATCGTGCATCTAAAATTAATTAGTCTAATAGGATGAAAGGACAACCTTCATCCCCCTCAGTGTTTGCACTTTCGAACGACTCCGAACCTGAATTCCAACATGATCCAAAGTAGATGTTGTCGAGATCAAAAGGTTTCACCAAACACTTCTACATTTTATATTCCAAAATTGAATTTTTTTTTTTTTTTTTTTTTTTCAATTCATGTTTCAAACAATCAATCGAGTGTTTAACCCTGTTAAATATATAACTTGATCCAATTGAGTTTTTTTTTTTTTTTTTTTTTTTTTTTTTTTTTTTTTTTTTTTTTTTTTNTTTTTTTTTTTTTTTTTTTTTTTTTTTTTTTTTTTTTTTTTTTTTTTTTTTTTTTTTTTTTCGTGATTGTTCACCAGTTTCTTTGACTATGATATTCAAAAATTTAAAACAATGGTAATCTAAGCTACCAGAGTGGTCCGGGGTCACTTGCCCGATCGGGCAAAAAAAAAAAAATAAAAAAAAAAAAAAATTGGTGATTAATTTCGATGTGACCCTGAGACAAAAAATTTTCAATTTATTTTTCTAAATAACATAGTTTTTTTTTTCGGATTTTTTCAATTTTTTTCTTTTTCTTTTGCTGGGACCTTCCTTGGTCCTTGCACGGGCTTGCCACCCAGGACCCGGGCGGCCCAGCTGGTAGCGTAGATGGTAATTGATTATTTGAATTTATAAAAACGTTACAAATAGAAAAATAAAAAAAAACATAGAAAAACTAAAAAGCTAAAAAAAAAGATGTTTAAAACGAAAAAATAAAGTGAAAAAATATATAGATTTTGTTTTTTAAGTTTTAACTAAATTCCAATTTGTTGAAACAATACGACGTTTTTCTGGACTGGTTCTTCAACCTTTTTTTTTACGTGTCGGTGCTTTCGTACGCGGAAACATTGTCTTTGTTAGTTGGATCAAAGAACCAGTTCACACAGTAAGATCGTTCACACGGAGGTTTACGTCCCACTACGTTTTCAAGGTTCATTAGATTCATGATTTAGAAGGGTCAATATTTTGGTTGCCTCGATTAGTCAATTCAAAAAGAGACACACATTTGACAACAACATAGCAGTAACCATAGTAGCAATTGTAGCAGTATATTTCTATTGTGATAAAAGTGGAAATGACAACGATGGTCTGCATTGCATTTCACAATGACGACTCTTTCTCCCTTTGCTCCATTGTTCAACAATCTTTTTCTCATATTTCTATTATTAAATGTTGTTGATAGGCTTCATCTTCAAGCTTTAGACAGTCATATGACTACCACTTATGACCTCAAGCACCAACAAGATCATAAACAAGTTGCACTCCCTTGCTTGTATCACAAAGTGGGTAGGCTAATGACTTACATTAGCACTCTAAACAAGCGGTAAACAGTGTATCTGACTGCAACCATCACAAGATTTATATAAAAGAGATAAAAAGCAATCAAACTGATTAAATAAATAATTAAAATAAATAAATAAAGGCAAACCGTGTGGAATAGTACACAAAAGGGTGATGATAGGAAAGGGTTGCAGCAACCATAGAAAAATGACAACATCCGTGGTGAACGGTAGAAGGCTAGAAGCCATGCTAACATTTGCACTTGAACCTTCGCCCTTTTTCAATCGCTTCTATCCCTTCTCAATCTCGTTCCCCATCCAACTCATCAGTTCCCATAATTGCAATATGATAAAGTACGGTCACGCCCCTTCCGGCGGATGCCTTGCGCCCAATACTGTATGCCAGCCTGGCTGTGCATATACCAACAGTCGGTCAATCATGCTGCAGCAGCTTGTTGACCAAGTCTGGTTCCCTATTGCAGTCCGGTCACCTATTGTAAACTTGGTCTAAGCAGCAGCTTGTTCCCTCACCCTTATCTTTCTTTCATCCTCCTCCTCCTTGTCATCTTCTCTCACCGCTGCGTTGTCTAGCGGACTCGGGCAACTCTAGAGAGTAGAGTGTGCGTGGAGGTACCGCAACTTGAATGGGCGGCTGTTTGATGTCTGCATTGGGCCGGGAAACGCCCTTCAATTCATTCAACCGGAGGAGGCGCATGCACGGCAGTTGAGAGCCTCGCGTCCAGTTGATGTAGCTCAGTGGTTAGAGCACCGGTTGGAAACGCGCATTGCGGTATGAGGTTGCGGGTTCAAATCCGCAGCCTCACCCATGGACACCAGCAGGGCGTTAGAATGACGCACGGCTGGACACACACCCCTTGGGCTGAAAATGGTAAGCTATTACAGACACTGCCTGCGCACCACCCAAGGGTTGTCCATGGTTTTGTATGTGGCGTCCTGGCCTATGAGGGGTTTGCCTGATACAGTTAACAGTCTAATGGGGATGCAGATAGGGGTTTGTGGTTAGACTGCTCATGTGCGTTGGTTACCTTAGGCTCTGCTTTGGGGGGGCAAGGACCTTAGGTGGGATGGGGTTCCGTTTGGGGGAAGGGTTGGCTTGGGACAAGGTCTGCTGGAGGATATCGGTGGGGAACCTACAGTAGGGGGTGTTGGTAGACAGACTCTGGTGGAGGAAATCCTTGGGGAACCTGCAGTAGGGGGGGGCTGTCTGAGGGGGATCCTCCAAGATAGGATGGTCTGGGTCCCATAAATTAGTTGCTGACTGTAGATAGGTACCTGTCGTGGGTCCAGAAATCGACCTCTACAAAAAAAAAAGGAAAAAAAGAGATTGAGTGGTTGCCTCGCTCCACGTACACTACCTAGACTGGACTCTCGAAAATTCTAGAGTTCGTCGAGAGTAGCACCCTCTAGTGTAAGTGGAGCCAGGCCGACTTTTTGACTGTTTTTTTTCCAGAGTTGGACAACACTCGATGAACTCTAGATTTTTTTCTAGAGTCTCGTGCAGTGGAGCGAGACCACTGCCGCTCGACCTGACCAGAGAAAACCTGTCGTCATAGCCTCCTCATGAGTCGGTGAAACTCCGACGAAGCAGATCTCAAGGGCCTAGTGGAACGGCGCCGCCCTTGAGATATTTTCAAGTCGAGGGTAGTGTAACGAGGCCCATAGCCCCTCCTTTGTTGTCCTCTTCTCCCTCCCTCTCTGCCTACGGTTTACCGGGCAGTTCTGTTTGACAACCCGTTTGACAATATATATATATATTATATATATACGCCGTTTGGTGAGGTCCGGTTTGCGCGGCTTGAGTGAGAATCGCCGTAGATATAACAAAGATCGACGACCGGCGCAACTGGGATCTACTGGTAGGGGGTAGTTGGGTCACTGGCCATCCACCAACATTTGATTGAATCTGGAATGCTACCCCGTCCGGATGCATTCAAAATCTTGGTGGATGGTAGGCCCGTAGTTTGTAGATAGAGTATTCTTTCCGTGCACAGCCCTCGCCACACCGATCTCGGATGTGAAAAGGACAAGAATGTGTCGGGTGCATCTGGCCATGTTCTAGCGGGAAATTCATTCTCATTTTGCGTTTTTCGAGAGTGCTGTGGCGAGGCCCTATATCGCGGTATTGCGGAAACATCGACACGCATTCTTTTCTTTCTTTCCTAAACAAGCACTTCTTCCCTCCATACAAATTTCTTTCTTTCCTAAATAAGCACTTCTTCCCTTCATACAAAATAAATAACAGTCGTCCTTCTGGGCTGAAGTAGTTGATGGATAGCTGACGTTTGTCGGTGGGCAGTACTGCATCCGTTCTCATCCGTGAATTACCATCGAAGGGCCTCGCCACACCACTCTCGAAATGTGAAAAAGACAAAAATGTGGCGAGTGGATCTGGTCACGTTCTAGCGGTAAGTTCATTCCCATTTTGCACATTTCGAGAGTGGTGTGGCGATGCCAAAGAGTGTAGTAGCACAAATTTGCGAAGCACCCGCAGAGAGGGTTATCATTGCCCCAGCCCAAGGCTGACGTGTACAGCGTCGAGTAGCCCATTGAGTATGTTGCAGCCACGGTGAGTTATCCTCACCGAGTCTTTGTGATGTGCGTGGAAATGTGTCTTGTGGGGGCGGA